GCAGTTCCAAAGGGCAGACTGTAGCGCCCCATAGAAAGTAACTTGACAGGATGTGACCCAATCGGAATGCAAAGAGGGGAATCCACTAAAGTTGCGCATCCATACTATTTTGGCAGTTTGGCCAAATATTGTTTGACAGTATTGACGCGTACACGTGTAAGGAGTAGAGAAGGCTGTACAACCACGCGTCCAGAAAAGAACGAGCAGAGTGGTGCACGCAAAAACTATTTAAATTGTGCGACGTTTCGATACACAGGTCTGGAACCCTTACACACTGAGATCTCCTAGTTATCAGAGCTCTCTCTTTTGTTTTCTCTCTCTAAAACTGTAACTTAACCGTCGGAGGGGTATTCTAGCCACCACCCACCGGGTAGCTCACCGTCGTTGTGTTCTCCAGTTATCCGAAGTGAAATGAAGCTTGCACACGAAGAGTACGGAGAACGACAAATGTTTTCTCCCCATACAACACAGATCTATACACACACATATCTATATATATATATGAGAGAGAGAGAGAGCCATCAATCGGCGCTGCCATCACTGCCGTCACCGTCTCCTTCTTCTCTTTCTCTCCTTTCTCTCAATCTTTTCTGTTTCTTCTCTCTCTCTCTCGTCTCTTCTCTTTCTTCTCTGTTTCAGAGAGGAAAGAGAGAGAAAAGAAAAGGTAAAAAAAAAAAGAAAAAAAAAAGGATGTTTTGGGTATTCGAGCCACTTCGGGCCAATGGTTTTCGAGCTACCAAATATTATTCTATATTTTTTGATATGTAATTAGGTTGGTGTTTGTGTTTTTAAACTTATTAAAGAGTAAAATAAGATCTATCATTGTTAACCTAATTTATGTCACTTTATATAATTTTGTATTAAATTTTTGGAAATATAGCAAAAAATTTTTGGTCTTTTGTAAAATGTTGTTTGTTGATGTTTTTCTTATACCAACTTATGTTGATTTATCTATTTCTAAACTTATTAAAGATTAAAATAAGAAACAAGAATAATAATTTGGTTAGGTTAGAATAATCCCTTCTGTTAAATTAAAACTTAACTTGTATTAGATTCTACACTCAAAACAAAAACAAAAAAAAGAAAATTTTAATTTATTTTTTATTGTTTCGAGAAAATAAAATAGGAGAAGGAGACACCAACTCGAATTTGAAATTCAGGTGTTGAGCTTGATTGATTAATCTTGAGTCTCTTGTTATTCCTACACAAATTATCCTTGCTCAATTCTTTTATGAGCTCATATCGGTCCATTTTCTATCCAAAACTGCCAGCCCAACCCAACCCTATCATTATCACCAAGGATCCTCTAGAGTGAAATTTTTCTAAAGTTTTCTAGAGTGTTACATTGTGTGGTTGAGATTTATTGGCAAGTCACATCAGAAAAATTGATGTGACTTGCCAGTAAATCTCAACCATACAATGTAGCACTCTAGGAAACTTTAGAAAAAAATCACTCTAGAGGATCCTTGCTCTATTATTATTTATTGGGGTATTCTATTTTTTTGGGCCTGGCTATTGTTCAAGTAAAGTTTTGGGTTTGTAGTTCAATACATTTCAGATCCAATTTTGTGGAAAAAAGCTTGGGCATTTTAACTCATAAGTTGAGGACCTTCTAAATGCCCTCTAAATCCTTTTAAATTGCTTATTATGATGGGTAAATTAGCCCATTAAGTGGGCTTTTACACAGGAATTATGAGCTGTTTTATTAATCCTTTTGTGATCAGATAGTTTCATATCAAGGCCTCTTTATAAGGAGGCTCTTTGGGATGTTTTACTACACCTTTTACAAAAACATCTTCTTCTAATTCTCTCTATACTGCTTTCAAGGATGAACGAGGCACATGAGTTCTTTTTCTTGATCTGTCAAGAAAAATTCTTATTAACTCAAGAAATAAAAAAATACATTGAGATAGTAAGAATTCGGGAAAACATCGTCGTAGAATTAACAAAATGAGGACTTAGTGGTTACTAAGGATTGTCCTGACCAATTGAGAAATTTGCTTATTATAAATATGTTTGGAATTGTTTATGAGAGGGAATCGCCTTATATGCTTTTTTTCTTTATTTTTTTTTTAATTTTGATTTTTTTATTTGCTTCTTTCTTTCGTTGAAACCCACTAGTATTGTTATAATTATGTCAATTAACATGTCTATAAAATCCTAAATAAAATTATTCCTCCTCATCCAAAATCAATAGGTTGAGCCCAATGCTCATGTCGTAACGAAGCAATCTTACAGCTTTGCCAAGGCATTCTTCTTAAATTCTATCCATTACCATTTTTGGATAATTTGTTATATTTGTGGAAATTCATGTTGATGTCATTGTTAATATTGGGTTTACAAAGTGACAGCACAAGAATAATAGTGTAAATTATGGAGGTCTATCTGCAATGATACACATATGTGTGGTTCCAATTTGAAGTTTCAACTGGGTGTTTATGCGACTATTGGATTGCTAGTATAGTAGTAGTAGAATTTCTTATCATGAGTGTTTATTGATAAAACTATAATTCAAAAAATAAAAAAACTTTGTATATGGAAATGAATGGCTGTGCTTGAATAAGTGGTTCCATGAACCATCTTGTCAAAAGGTGGAAATGAATGTCCCTTAGTAATAATGTCAAGCTTTTTGTACTACATTAAATATATGTCGGGTTGGGGGAACAAGGAAGCATCGACCATTGACTAATTACATCCACACTATAAACATTGTGGGAGCAAGATTAATTGGTGAAAAAAGATAATCCATTGATTGAGAGCTCACTCCTCCTCCTATGAGAAGATTCCCCCTATTTATTTTTTTTACAGTAAGTAGGGTGATTTAAGAAGAAAAATTATATACAAATTAACAAATTTTATAAAAAAAATTCCTAATTGATGTCGCACCTATGGGTATCATTGAACCAAGTTATATTTTAATTTTTAGAATTTCACTTTACAAAATTTTTATTGCGTCACACATTACATTAAGAAAATTTTGTAAAATCTATTAATTTATATAGCATTATTCATATAACAAAAGAAATTATATTACATAATAGTGATAAAGTTGAGCCTATAATGACATCATGCCTATTAAAAAAGTGATTCATGCACCAAGCGAGAGGGACTCTTTGTGGTATATTTAGCCTTTTTGGCCTTAAAAAATTGATCATTGTTGATATTGACTTTATTTTTTCTTCTTCACATCAAAAGGTAAACTTAATTGAAGACAACTTTCCATGTTAAATGTGTTTCTCTCTCTTCATCTTCAACAAGTTATATTTAATCTTCTAGATGGAACAGTTTAATTTTTTATTTTTTTATAAGTAGACGGCTGACTAATTTTCTTATGCAATTATTACTCTATTTGCACATCAAGTAAACACTTGAAAATTACCCATCTTAGACCATCTTTAATGTTTATGTTTTTTATTATTATTATTATTATTATTATTATTGGATTTGAGTAAAGATTTAGGTTAAAAATTATATTTGATGTCAAACATTTCAACGCTAAATTTTTAATTTTCATCAAATACCGATTGACCGAGAGGACAACCGGGAGGATGTCTGGATTGTCGTCTAGGTTAGTGTAAATTTTCTTCAAATTTTTTCCAATTCGGTCGTCCACCCGATTGTCCGGCCTACCTGGTTGATTGGCCGATCATCCATCTAGTCGTCCATCAACGGTCAACTGCGAGATTTGATGAATGGTTAAACATTCCCTTAATTTGATAAAAAAAAGTAAGACTCCCTTCATTTGATACCAATTTAGTGAAACGGTAATTTTTATCAAATTTAAATTTGATAATAAAAGATTTAAGTTTGGATTGGAGATCATTTTATTGACCGATCATATAATAATTTTATGATAATAATCTATTAAATCTATAACAACATATGTACCTCATGTAGACACTATAATGATTAAAAATAAATTTGTTCTTATGACTTTCTATTGTTGTTGTTAGGAGTTAATTTTTGATATTCCGAATTTGAGTCATAAAAATATCTTCGTAGAAAATGGGAGTAAGACTATGTACATGTATTTTCAAATTCCATTATACCAGAAACTTTACTAAGGATTTTTTTTTTCTCTTTTTTTTTTTTTTTTTTGTTCACAAAAGAGACCTTTTATTGCCTTCCCCAGATCTCTGATTATTTATGCATTAACATACCCAACTTGTCAAAAAAAAAAAAAAAAATTAATAAACGTAGTAATTTCCAATAAAGAAAGAACATGAGCCTCCCACCATGTCTGATCCAAGAACACTTGCTTGGGAAAATCTAGAGAAGGGAGGAGGGTAAATTATGAATGAGTTGATTTGTCATTTCTTGATGTGGAAATTTCATAACATTCACCCCAATTAACCAAATGTAAATGAGAGAGCAGTAAAATGTCTATGGAATTGATTTGTCATTCTTAAAATGGAAAGTTTCAAAAAATTAAAATGTGAGTGATCCCATGAAAACTATTTAGAAAGATAAAATTTATATACAATAATGCGGTTGAGTCATGGGCTTTAAAAAAAAAAAAAAGTGACATTATGTAGTTGCTATAATGAATGATTCTATTAAATTTTTTTTGAAGAATTAGAAATAAGTACGAATATACAAATATAATTTATATACAGAATGATATTTCATTTTCAATCAAAACACTAACTGTTATATTTATAATTTATAAAAATGTCATTAATCGTTATTCTGAATGTGAGTTTGTATTATCAATAATTTTCCTTTAAAAATTAATAGAAAGGCAACATGCATGTGCTCCTATGCCATTGTAGAACTCCAACCTCATTTATGGCCATTCAATAATGAATCCTATGTTCACTAGTCAGACAGATAATTATAACATATATACATAAACTAATGGCCATGAATGAATGCCCCATCAACATGCACATGGCCTTGTTCCCTCCCTCACTAGGGTTCATGGATTTTACTAAAAACAATGATAAATATACAATGATTTTACGAATAAACAAAAAGAATACATGATATCAAGAATCTGATAGAGGAGAAAAATTAAATAAGTAGCATTAAAATTGAAGGAATAAAAAAACACACACACAACAACTTTGACAGCAATGACAACAACAAACAACGTCAACAAAAAGAAGATTATTATGCAAGACATTAACAATAAACTAAGCAGACAATACGTCTACAAGTTTATTGCTAGCTTCTTGTCCATTACAAATGTTCCAGATCTTTGATATATATATCTATATACTATCAAATTAAAATACAGACACATCCAAACAGGACCTTGCTCGATCGATCTGTGCCGTGCAAGTGTTTTGTTTCATTCTTCACACGAATGACAGACCGAAAGAGCAGGCAATTGTCGTACTGCTCAGATCCTGCTCTTGCATTTCTCCATGGCTCTTGGTGCTGAAAATTGGAAGGAAAAAAAAATTGTTTACATAATTATAATTAAAATTTATGTACTTGACCCTAGACAATATTTTGGCATGGTTCATGACCTTTATGGCTAGAATAATACAAAAAAATGCTATATACTCAGTAAAATGTCAAGTGGCAAAATTTGAATGTGTGATGTAGATTAGGATAAATTTGATTCATACTTTTCAAATTATGAAAAACATTCTGAATTATTTTTTTCCTTGATATGTAGTATTACTGAGAATAATAATTAAAGATTGCAAAAAATATATAAATTATAACGGACAATTGCACAATTGAAGGCACTAACCAAGTCCAATTGCTTCTGATCCTTTCATTATGCGCAGGCGCTTGCATGAATCGACAAACATCCTGTATGAAGTTAATAATACACGAATCAACAATTTTTATAATTTTTCTAGATAAATTTACCGATATAAATTCTAGATCCGTAACTTTATTACTTTTCTTTGGTTGAAATAATTCTATTTTGAATTTTTCTTTTTCTTTTTTTTTGAGGGGGTAAGATGAAAAAGGCCTTATGTAGACCATTGCCATTATCCGCTAAAATCGTACCAATCTGTATCAATCCGCATTAATCTATCCGCTAACTACAGATTAAACTTTAAAATTTACAATCTGCTTTCTAAACCACTCTTTTCCGTTATAGTTAATACATATATATTTTTTTAACCTTTAATAAAATATTAAAGTAAAAATGAGTGTAAGAAAGATTTAAGATGTGAAATTTGTTATAAATTAGTAGTTATTTATATAAAAAATATTATGTAAAATTAGTTTGTGTTATATGTATAAAAAATATTTTGTAAATTAATGTTATATATTATACAAATACTTGATAATTGTTTAAGAATATTTTTCAATCAATTAACAAATTGAAACCGTCTTAAATCATCTAAACTACAATTTGATTATTTGCCAATCTATCAAACCGTGTGTTTGATTTATAATTTTATTCTTAAATTATCACAACCACACTGTGCACACATGTAGCCATTGTATCTTATGGCAACCATAAAACTTTGCCTTTCTGCTACAAGTACGAAAGTTAGTATTAATGCAAACACTGTACACAAAGATGTTTTTTTTTCCTGATTTATCAGGGAAAAAATCTGACATTCATGGCTCGTGTTTGGTTTTGTACTTGGTACTTTCAATTTCCTATTTTCCCGATCATGGTTACTTTCTATATTAATATGGTTTTTTTGTTTTGTTTTTGTTTCTTGGGTTGACATTTTAGAACTTTAAAGGAACGAAAAGAAATACTTACTCCCATGGGACATCTCCCACGAGCATCCAGTCTCCATCCTTATCTTCATAGGTTGGAACATACTCAGAACTGTTCAACAAATCCATCAACTTACTCTCATTCATAAAGTCTATCATTCCTTGGGTCCCATAGTTACCTTCATTATTAAAAAAACTATAATTATAATTGGAATTAGTACTTCTGAATATTGCAATAAACACAAGCTAGCCACAGCATCACACTATATAATCATTTTCAAGATCTACTTTTTGTAAATTCAACAAATTTTTTTTTTTTTTTTTTGAAACAGGGAAGAACATTTTATTGAAGATAACCAGGTAATACAATTACAAGAGTTACCTCCATCTTTGTTCTGTTTTTTTTTTTTTTTCTGCTGGTTGGTGTCTCTCCAACTGTGAGTGGTGTTATTAAGACCTACTTTTTGTAATTCAACAATGTTATGCACTTAGAAAAATATTTAAAATATATTAAAATTTTAAAATGTATAGATTAAATTCATTTTATGTGTGATTTATTTAAATCTACCCCGCAGTTACAAGATGTGAATATTTTTTTGGGTTTTTTTTTTTTTTTTTTTTTTGTATATAGAAATTTGTGTAGTAATTGTTCTTCTAATATCATATTGAAGAAAACAGAAGGCTGTTCTAGTTTCATGTTGACTCAAAATGATATTATTTTCATGGTACATAATGAAAAAGTATCATAGAAATGGCTTTAGATCTGTAAATGGAAAACAAAAACACATGGTCGTTTGTACTTTTGTAGTTATTGTTGTTGTTTTTTTTTTTTTTTTTTGTATATAGAAATTTGTGTAGTAATTGTTCTTCTAATATCATATTGAAGAAAACAGAAGGCTGTTCTAGTTTCATGTTGACTCAAAATGATATTATTTTCATGGTACATAATGAAAAAGTATCATAGAAATGGCTTTAGATCTGTAAATGGAAAACAAAAACACATGGTCGTTTGTACTTTTGTAGTTATTGTTGTTGACAATTTGAGAAAGATATACTATACCCATGGTGAAGGAACTGAACATCTTGGCCAAGGCATCAGAGAGTTGTTGGTAGCTCTTGTACATCTTCAGGTCCACCTTACGAAGGTAAGGAGCCCCATCCATACACACCTTCACAAACGCCACACCGCCGCTGCTGCTAGCCTTCTCAGCCTCCTCGGTGGTAGTCTTCTGAGTCATTATGTTCTTTCGGTATGACCTAACTGGTGGCCAACCCACAACCTGTGCCCTAAAACCCACCAAAAAGGAAAAGGAAAAAAAAGTTAGTAGTCACTTCCATTCTTTGCATCTATCCATAGTAGTACCCCTAAAACATTTTGGGAATAAAGAAGAGAGAAATTGTATCACATAATAATAAGACTTGAACTCAAATATTGTGTTACAGGTATGCACACGTGCACACGAATCGATCTTGCATTTGTCGAAGTTTCTTTAAGCCAATTAACCATAGTGATAATATGAAAGTTATTGTGTAACAGACATCAAGATTCATTGGATATAAGAAAAAGCAAAAGGGTATTAATTCATGTGATTTATATTTTATGTATAGGGGATATATTTACATAAATCTGATATGTGGGATCATAAAATAAAGCAAAAAAGAAAGGCTTACTTGGCAGGTGGCTTTGCAGGGTCTTTCTTCTCATTGGATGGGGTGTTCATCTTCTCCTTCAGATCCACAGCTGATTCATTGCGTTGGAGGTTGAGTTTCAGATCAACAGTCTCAGAAAACCCTCTCTTTCCGGTGATCTTCACCGTCTCACCACCACCACCACCACCACCTGGCAAACCAAGGCAGAGCTCAGTCTCTTTCAGATTCAGGCTATAACAGCCATTTCGCTCTTCACCAAGCAAGTTGGACATTTTCCGGCCAACTTCCATTGAAACCCCGACCTTGGATTGGAATGGTTGTTGATAGCTTGCCTTCCTTCTTCTTCTTCTGTCCTCTAATTCTGAGTTAACAACTAGAGAGAGAGAGAGAGAGAGAGAGAGAGAGAACAATAAAGTAACAGAGGGAGCAATGTGTATGGCATCATGTGCATATATACCACCAATGGCAGCAATTGTGTCCTATCTGGTTCCAAGGAATAGCATGCTGACACGTGGAAGAACGTTGTATCTTGATCTTCTTGGATCAAGGGATTTGCCAATAATTGTAATTTAGTGATTGATCATCACTTACTAAAGGGACAACATACCCAAAAAAGTGTAAACAGTACGAAAAATATGAAAATTGTTAATTAACTAACAACAATTTACTAATTTTCTTATAAAACTGATATGATAAGATTTTGATCTTCTCTATCTTATAAATAGAATGGAAATTTTTATTTTATTTCATAAGACTGTAAACTGTCATTAAAAGAAAAAAAAAAAAAAACATATATGATTGCTGAGGCGGTCTCATTTTAATTTCATTACCACTCCAAATCATAACCAACATTATTTTGATTCAGACTAATGCCATATAAATTAACAAAGTTTGCAAATTTTTGTTTAACTGATGTGTTATGGAATCAAGAAACTTTAGAATTTGAAAACAATCCATTTCAATAATGTGACAGTAAAAATATTTTTAAAATTTATGAATTTGTATAATATTTTTATTTACATTAAGACATTTGATACAACTTTTAAGAGTAGTGTGTGTATGTATCACACAAATTGTTTTGAATCAGGAGGGTAATTAATTAAGAACAAAAATGGAGATGAAATGATTAAAGGAACCAAATGGCATTGTGGTCCAAAAAGAATAACAATCGATCGGCCCGCCATGGTGGTTAAGCTTTCCTTTGATCCCTCTATTGAACAATAAATATAGAATTGCCCCACCATTTTGCTTCTTCTTCTTCTTCTTCTTTTTTTGGTTTTCTTTTTTGTTTTTTTTTCCCTTTTTTGTACTGCATTTTCGTGTAATCTATTCAATTGTTTTCACAACTAATTAGCAATGGCTAGCCACAGTTGTGAGACGGTGAAAGGGTCTGAATGGACCTATCATCTAGATGTAAAATAAATATTAAATATAACGGTGATATTGTCGACCGATGAAAAGTCACAAATGAAAACAGATGAAAATCAGTTAGTCCTTAAATGAGAAACAAGATTGGTTCAATCCCATCTCATTTGGACAAATTTTCACTAGTTTTAGAGACCATTGCTTACATGGTATTCCGAACCAATTGATGAGACATTCTTAGCGACGGTATTTTACCGTCGCAAAAAGTCATTTTTTTTGTAGTGAGACCATTGCTTACATGGTATTCCGAACCAATTGATGAGACATTCCAACTAATCTTAATGTATGTTGGGGTTTCTCATTGGATAAGAGTTCTTAATAGTTTTCCTTCATTTGGGATTGTTGAACAATCTTTATTGTAATTAAATTAATTAATTCTGTTTGGGTATTAAATGATAAACAGAATATAAAAGAAAAATAAGAAATGAGAGAAAAAGTTTGATCACAAAAATAAAACTAGAAATAGAATTAAATAAATAAAAACAGATTTTATTTTGTTACAAAAACAAAATTTAAATCTGATTTAAATAAATAATAAAACATAAAATAAATAAATAACTTACTTGATTAATATCTTGAATATTATTCTGATTAAATCCAGTGTTCGACACTGTCTCCTTAAGACAGATTTGTCCTCTCCACGGTGCTTTCAGAATATGGACGTCTATCTCCCAGGATGAAATGATCAACTACAATAAATGCAGCACTACAATTTATTTGTTCAACGAACACACTAAGTGTCACTCTTTCTCACAAAATTAAATGCAGCAAAATGAAGAATAAATTTGTAGAGGAGAAGTACGAAATTTCTGAATGTAAAACATCAAATGAGGACTGCTTATTTATAGATGTAGTGGTGGCTATTAATTTTGAATTAAACAGGTGCTACCCTATTTTGAACAGGTATGAAACCTGTTTGGTTTTGAATTAAACAGATTTAAATCTGTTGGGTTCAAAATTGAAACAGATAAAAACGGAAGGGACCTATTTGGGTGTAGAGAAAAAACGGAACAAATTAATTCCGGAATTAATTTTAATTTTGGATTTTATTTTACTAAAAAATAAAATTATATTCAAATGTTTTTGGCCCAAAAAGATAGGTATTGGGCCGAACAAGCCCAACCCAACCACACCCCATGCACTCGCGCCCAAGCCCAGCCTGCCCGACCGACTGGACTAACGGACGGCGGCGCGTGCGCGCGTGGTGATTTTTGGGTCCAATAGGTTAAGCCCATTTTGCCCATAACCTCCTTCTCTACAAAACTTGAATACCCCTTGGGGCACACCCTAAGTTCCAATCCCATGCCTTATAAATCCATTCAAAACTTCCCACCAAATCAATGTGGGACAAGTCATTTTCCAACCTTAAGGAATTTCCACCAAAACTCCATTTCCATGGAGCACTCTTTGGCTTCAATTTCCCATTCACTCGGTAATGGTTTTGAGCAACCAAATATACCACGTGAATTACAACGCGGCATAGAACGCGTTACCACTTTGACCCGAGTAAATCGACACTCAGGGCCCACCTAAAAAATAGACCGAACTTAAGAAAAAATTCTGGTTTTATCCAGAATTTTATAACCATTTCCAACAATCCCCCACATGAATGGAATTTGATGACAACGGAAATGCAACAATATGCAGACTTTAACGAAAGAGTATAAGTCGAAAATATCTTGCATCAGGATAGGTAGTTTTCGGCCTTGAACCTTCCCTAGTGATAACCTATCGGACTTACTGGCTAACCAATGGACGCGATGCCTTGAATTGTTCAGCCGTTTGTGTAAGCCAAGACAATAGATTTCACACAAAATATCTTCTAACACATCGTGGTTCTCACTGTTGTGTTCATTTTTCTGCACAGGAAATCTGAATGTTTCCAAGCATCTACAGCGGCAACAACTTGCCGATCACTTTCACCCTCTTTAAGTGCTGGAGCCTCTTCATGGAGAAACCGGGCCAAATTAAGAGTTGTAAGATAGAACAGCATCTTCTGCTGCCATCTCTTAAACTCGGTACCATTAAATTTTTTTGGTGTCATTAGTCTCTTGACTTTGTGTACAATCATAAGTTCTGTTCTGTGAACTTAATTCCTGTCCTTTCCTTTAACGAAAGAGTATAACTCGAAAATATCTTGCATCAGGATAGGTAGTTTTCGGCTTTGAACCTTCCCTAGTGATTGATCAAGTCCAGTGTTTAACACTGTG